TGTTTAAGGAGGATCGAGAGTTAACAATTCTCGCAATGATTGAGAACATTCGTAACAAGCTGTAACAGTGGTTTCAATGAATGTGGAAGCACTAGATGAGTTCCGCTTCTTCGTGCAATGTGTACGTAATACGGCATATATGGTGGACTTGACTGATAACACGTGCACTTGTACGAAATTTCAGTTAGAGAGTTTTCCATGTAAGCATGCAATTACGGTGGCCATGTATAGACGCTTTGTAGCGAGAACATTATGCTCTTTGTATAATACGACTGAATCATGGAGAACAACATATGCTGAGACTATATTTCCTCTGTCGAATGAAGTCGAGTGGGAATTCCCGAGCACATTCCCCCGTTTGATACTTTGTTGCCACCAGCAGTTGAACCGCATGGTTCTGGACATCCAAATACATCTAAAATACCATCTACCGGAGAGTTTCCTCGACCGTGTAGACGTGACAGGTACAAAGTCATAGGGCATACTCGACAATTTTGTAGCAGTCAAATTTCCCTAAATACAATTAGACAGGTACGTTATGAATAATATTTCCATTTACTTTACATTGTTCAATATTTGTTCTTCATAAATGTTCAATGTTTAATATTTATTCTTGATAAATGTTATTTATAATTATTCATATAAAAAAATAGTTTCATACTCGGCATGTGTTTAAAAAAAAATCAACTTAAAAAAAATAAATTAAATTTTCAATTTGAATGTTATATGTATTGAACACAAATTTACAATTATTTCATAATCACAAAAAATAATTAAATTTACAATTCGAATGTTACGTATATTTAATACAAATTTACGGGTCACCATTAAATTCGAACAAATCACAAGCTAACTTCTTTCTCCAGTTCTGTATCTACGATTGGTTGATTTCATCAACCTTATGTCCTATAATTAAAAATTCAACGTATTTAATGGCAAATATGCTGCAGTCGCCGCTACAATTGAACAAGAATGGATCAGTTCAGTACTGTGTAGCTAAAAATTAAATTTGAAAGATGAAAACGACAAAGTTCAAACACTTACCTTATGGACTATCGCGTTGTCGTCGTGTTCCGAACGATCCGCAGTTTGTCCTGTATAGTCATCCCCGCTCGTCTAGCCATCATAGGAACAATTACAGCTACGGACTCCAGATTTTGCTCGAGCTAGCCTTGTGTCAAACATGAATGATCTGGGTTATACACATATATAGTCGTGTCAGCAAAAACGATCTCCTGCGTAATACAATGATTATTGATGCATGCTGGAATGTACATATGTGTACAACCCTCCCATGATTTTCTCCCGACACTCGGTGACATTCCTATGACCCATTCGAGCATATATTCTGGCACCGTGTACTCGTTACCCATAAGTTGGAGCGACTGATACTCTATGGTAACGGCTGATAAGTAGGAACTCGGTGTTTAATATGACTCGACCATGGACGTCAAATGATTTTAGATGTCTTTGAGCTCGATTTCGCAACAAATACATGGCCAGGTCGATGTGCTGCATCAGGAAACACCAAAAAAGTATGAGTTATTCATTTAATAAACACAAAGTCACGTATACATAAAAAACACGAAATGAATAATTCACTTATATCGCCGACGAGCCAAGCTCCCGAAGTGATGATATCGTGGAATCACTTGTAAGCGTTCGAGACCGTCCTTTGACCTAATGTGCGGCAAACTCTGAAAAAAAGGGAAATGTTAAAATAAGCATAGACGAGTTAGCGTACAGTGCTTTATTAAAATTATACAACACTTACCCGAGGATAATTCTCCTCCACTCCGTCTCGAAAGCTTTTCATTTGGCGTTGTCCACCTCCCTGAATAAGTTCGGGTACGTCCGGTCGATGAAAGTCCTCATCTTGGCCTCAGTCGTGGAGAGGGAAACAACATACTGTGACGGCACTCTCAACCTCTTGCTGACCACCTGCTCCGTCTCATCAACAGCATGTCTCTTACCCTCAATCACGACGGACATCCTCTCGGCCTCCAGGGCCACCTCCTCCGCCCCTCCCATCAGGGCCTCCCCCTCTGTCATCACCTCATTCGCACTTCCTATCGGGGCCACTCCCCCCGTCGTCCCCTCTTCCATCCCCACGGGGCCACCTCCTCCTCTTCCATAGACAACCACAATGACTCTAATGTCTCATCATGCCAAAAATGTGGATGACACCCCTCTCCATCACCATCTCTGCCACCCTCTCGATCATCATCTCCGCCATCTGCTCTGTCCCCCCATCGCCTGTCGGCTAAATCTCCTCTAAGTGCCGCTATCGTATCCTGAAGGTTGACAACGCAAGACCGTAGCATTCCAACATCATGGGATAGATCGTCAACCCTCCCTGTTAACTCTCGTCCCAAATCATCGACCCTCTCCGTCAACTCTCGTCGTAGCGCGCCGACCTCCTCTGCTATAAATCCAGTCAGACGGGCATACAGATCATCACCGTGTGCATGAGATACACGGGAGATGTGTTTGGACGAGGGAGAAGGAGATATCCTCAGCGGTGGCGATGCCAATGGCGACAGCGATGCCCTCGGCGGAGATGATCATCGATCAGCTGGATCACCCTCCTACATAAATAACAGCATTAAAAATTATTCAATAAATTAATACAAAACGATATTCAATAAATTATATTTAATTCACATACTCAATCTCGGTCTAAGCTCGGATCAGACATCAAGAACGCCTAAATCTCGCACAAGACCCTGAGCCTCCTCTTCCATCGACGGCGTCAACTCAGGTATGACTTCAAACTGACATTTCAACTAGTTAACGATCATGTAAACAGATTTTACACTACGTATAATATAAATCACAAATGCATAATACTTATCTGAGGATCGTCGATGAGGGCCGATAACTGGTTCCCAGTGAGACATCCGTTCGCTCGCGATGATCTTCAATGATGCACCTAAGGGCATCCTGTCTCCCCTCGCTTCGCAAAGCGGGCCCCCAGTACAGGGACTGTCTCATACACCCAAATCTACAACACATACACTTATTATGCATAAATGTAATATGCTAAAACTTTAACTTTGATTATATTAAACATTTACCTGCACCGCTATGGACAATTCATATGTATCGTATTTACGCATTGTCCCCTAGACCTCAAGTGTGATATGGTGAAGATATGTACGGTGTCTTCGTAGCATCTCCGGCCTCATGGATAGTTGTTGAACACATCGATGTCGTCAATAACTTGCAAATGAAAAATGTCGATGACAGTCTTTTTGTGATGACACCTCATCACACTCTTGAGGATGTAGACCAGCCCAAGCTTCAATCTATCTAGCATCTGGTGGCAACCCCTGATTGTGATCATTAACTCGGGTAGAAACATCGACCCATGTCCTTGGAAGTACGTCTCGTACAGCCTATTGCTTTTCTCAATGGCTGCATCGTCGCCCGTAATCCTCAGTCTAGTGATCAAGCTAAACTCATACATCGCGAAAATGATGACCTTGCCCCCGAGGTCGAAGTGGAGGGAATTGACGTCGACTGGCCTCAGAAGTCGACAGAGAAGTGCATCGATGATCTGTCCTGAGTACTGCACCTCTCGCAACTGGTACAGTGGCCACAAAAAGGACCGTCGTAGCATATCTCCTTGCTCATCATCGATCAGCTCCAACACAGCAGTAAAACTCTCAAAACTACTGTTTCAAGTAGTTTTCCCCACCATCTTTCTCAACTCCCCATCTAAATGATACTCTATTCTGCGAAAATTCAAACGTTAGAATATTGAACAAGAGATAATAAAATAATGCATAATCTCAAAAAATCAAGGGAACCGAATTCTAACTACCATACAATACGCAAGATATTGACGCTAATAATAAAATAAATTCAATACAAATGTAAAAAAATAATTAATTAAATTAAAATAAAAATTAATGAGATTTTCAACAAAAGGAAATTATTAATATTTAAATAATACAAAAAAATTAAAAATTAAAGATTAAATATATTTTCAAAAAAAATTAAAGAATATAAATATTATTTAAATAAATTTAAAAAAATTAAAGAATATAAAAATTAAATAATTAAATAACATAATTATTATTTAATCAAATTACAATTATAAAGAAAATTAATCTTGTATATTACATTTGGAAAATATATTTACAAAAAAAATTAAAATTAAATACATTTTAAAAAAATTAAAGTATAATATTATTTAAAATTATTAGGAAACAAAATAAAAAATTATTTCATAATGAAGGAACAAAATAAATTGTTAATTTCATATAATATTCAATTATTAAATTATATAAATAAAAGATAATTAAAAAAAACATAATTACTATTTAATCAAATAAAAAAATAAATTAATTATAAAATATCTTCTGTATATTTAGACAATATATTTAAAAAAATTAAAAAATTAAATATATATTTTTAAAAAAATTAAATTTTAACAGTCGGCCAAAAGATTATTAACAGTCGGATCAAGACTGTTAACAGTCAAGACAAGACCCGACTGTTAACAGTCGATGTCTTTTCCCCTTCATCTCTTCATCGAAAATCGCCATTTTCGACGATGAGAGGTCCAAAAAAATTAGAAAAAATTCACATTTTCTATCCATGCACCACACAGTCTAACTACTCATACTTGTATTAAACCGAATAGATGTAAAAAATTCAATTGATTATAAACAACAAAAATTATAAATTTGTGCGAGAAAACTAATCGAAATAGTTTCGCTCGGTGATAGATAGTGATCTGTGATCGAAGTCGTGGCATCGGTCGACCGGTGGTTCATCGGACTGTTTTTGTGGCAACTAAGGCATCGATTTCTTTGGATTGATCGGTTAAAGGCTTCAAAAACAGTTTGTAATGTTGAAGGATAAAATCATCCTTTTATGTGTAAAGTTATTTTTTAACTAATTTTTTTTAATTGACTTAATAGGTCAAAGACTAATGTTAAAATTTGCTATGCTAGTTGAGTTATTTTTGTATATTTCCTCCAGACCATAACCCATACGCTTCAAAACCCCCATTTTAGCACAAACTTTTCCACAACTCATAGAAAATGCGTTGTCCCTCTTCTTCCTCGTTTTCTCCCCTCCAAACCCTTGTGATCAACCCTTTTATTTCACCATTTCACCCCTAATCTTTGTTGTTCTCACTTTTGGGTATATCACGCACTCTTTTGCTCTTATTTCTTTAAAATCTCATCTGTCCAGATTTTAGGGTTTGCTCAGTACAAAATTTCATCCCCTCATCACAGATAAGTATGATTTTTGTCCCCTCTATTTTATTTAAGTTTTTTATATGGGTTCTGTTTGTTTGTAATAATTACCTTTTTGGATCGCTTTTGATTGATGTAGAACAGATGATTATGTGCAACATATAATTTTCTTTTATGATATCGTTTTCCCCCTATTTGTGTGTTTATTTGGTAGTTGACTTTCTGGGATCTTTTTTATTTACTTTTATTTTAGGATAATGTATTTTTGTTTTGAAAAATAATATTTATTAAATTTGAGGGGGAAATGTTGGTAATCCGCTCACCTGAGAAATGATATGGAAAAGATTGTGTGCACTGTACTTAGTTTACCTGTCTAAATTGTTGACTTCTTTTTTCTCCTTTTTTAACTGATTAATTGGTTGCTTATTTTTATTTTCCAGGAGCGCCAAATTTTAATGTTCTGGTTGTTGATATTTTTGTAATTGCATCTAAAATTCAACTTTCTAGTAGATTTTAAAGTAATGGAGGAATTGGAACTGTTTTGTTATTAACAATATGGGTGTACTAGTTATTGCTAATCATCGAACTCTGCATATGAGAAATTAGATATTAACAAAATTAAGAGCAAGAATAAAGGAATTGATAAAGTTTGTTGTTCCCAAAAAATGGCCTCATTGAATGTGGGTGACACTGTTGCTATTTTAATTGCATGTGTGATGTGGTGGTGGGCGTCCCATGGACTGTGCCTTTGGCATAGTTTGTTGCTCGGTCTTTTAAAAATGGTGCAACTCTTGCTTGTAGTCTTGATACATTCTTGAAGCTGTTTCTTACTGCTGTAAATGTTTCTCTATTCATTCAGTCTAGTAATATTGACGGTTGAACATCCAAAAGCTTACAGTTCCAATTTTCGTTACGAATTCTAGGAATGAAGAGGACAGCATATTACAGCGCTGCTCCTCAGGTGCAGGATCATTGGCCAATTAAGAAAGCACTCACACTCTCTGATGTTGATATCACCCATCCATTCCTGACATTATCCAGGCAGCAGGTTGAAACCCATATTGTTGTGTATATGACATTTGAACAGGCAAAACTTTTAAGAGAAGATGGCCAAGTGAGTTTTAATGCCCAAGATGACGATACTGGTGATTTGTATGTGATGAAATTGAAGTGGCGTGGGAGCTATTATAATCTTATTGGCAAATGGGGAAAAGTGGTACGCGGAAAGGGACTTGATGTTGGGCAAGAAATCAAATTGAGGTGGCTTAATGGATGTTTACACTTCTCAGTTCCACAACGGCAGGTTGTTCTAGTACCACCAATTCGAACTGTTACAGCACCTCTGGTTCCTGACCACTGGCCTCTTACAAAGGTCCTAACTTCGTCTGATGTTGATACTAACCATCCTTTCCTCCCGTTGCCTCGTAAAGCTGTTGAAGATCATATTCTTGCACATTGGATGCCACAAGAAAGAGAAAGATTGAGAAAGGAAGAGCAGGTGCCTATAAATGCACGGGATTATGATACGGGTGATATGCATCTGATGAAATTGAAGTGGCGAGGGAATTATTATAACCTTATTGGGAGATGGGCAAATATAATTCGACAGAAAGGACTTGGTGTTGGCAAAGAAATCAGAATATGTTGGGCAAATAATTGCTTATACTTCTCAGTTCCAAACGATCATTACATCGCAACAGCATCTGGACATGATAATTGGCCTATTAAGAAAGCACTGACGTTGTCCGACATTGATACCAATCATCCATTCCTTACTTTGCCGGGCAAAGCAGTCAAGGATCATATACTCATCTACTGGACACAACAAGCTCGGGAACAGTTGAGTAGTGATCATCAAGTTACCATCAATGCTCGGGATGATGACAGTGGCGATCTGTATGTAATGAAGTTGAAATGGCGCGGGAGTTATTATAATCTTGTTGGCAAGTGGGGCAAAATCATTAGGGAAAAGAGACTCCATGTAGGAAGAGAAGTCAGAGTGCGTTGGGACCATGGGTGTTTGGTCTTCTCAGTTCCTCAATGACAGTGGTATTTTTTGTAGATAGGTGGAAGCTTCACCCAATACTATTTATGTTTCCAGTAATCATCTCATTCATACATAACATGTGTCATTTCATATGTTTAATTTCTAGTATGCTTTTCGGCTCTGATTGGTATGATGGTTCCAGACGAAACTGTAACATCCATCCGGTTGCTAACGACTGGTGCAAGAGACTTGCTAGATGTTAATTCAACAAGGTGATGCAATACGTGAAATTACTAATGGATTTGTCTGCATCAAATATCTTTAAGAGGAAATTTCTTAAGGATGTATTTGGAGAGAGAGAGAGTGAGAAATGGCCTCATTATTTTTGTTACTCTTTTAAATATCTCTCTATTTTCAAAAATCCTATACTGCCCTTCTTTAACTCCTCCATCATCTCAGGCTTAAAGCCTATGTTCCTTTGCTTATCGAAGACGATGAGAGATAGGGAAAAAGAAGAAAACGAAAAAAATAAAAAAGATGAACGGACACTAGGAATAACAGAAGAAAGGGGAAAATGTAGGGAGTCACCCTTCTAATTCTTTTGTTTTCTTAATGGGGATTTTCTCCAAATAACTATGGGAATGGTAACAGCTGTAGCATTTAAATAAAAAATCTGTTGCTATAGTTAAGGAAAATTCTGGTAGCATTAGTTATGGAGAGTTACCATATTAATGGATTTGGTAGGAAGTGGAAGGGTTTGGGGTTGAGGAGGACATTTTTGAAGGCTAGAAGTGTGCTTTGAATAACTCATCCAACATGTCGAATTTGGAGAGTTAGCCTGCTTCTTTGGGCGGTGATCATTTTTAACAAGGTTAAATTAGTTCTTGACCTATAAAGGAGGCTTTTTGGAAGTAAAAATTACAACATTGGCCGCTTTTCACTTTTACCATTACGAAATAACTATTTTGAAAAATTCCTCTTTTCTTTTAAAGCACTTCTTTTGAAATTTTGAAGCACTTCTTTTCAAATTTTGACTTAGTGACAGTCTTGTTTGATTGTTTACGATCTTATTTTCTATTTTTCCATCTAAAGTTGATATTACACCTTTTCAGCTTCAAACTATTGCTCATACGTTCTATTAAATGTCTGTTTGTTTTATGCTTTTGTAAGATCTTCCAGTACCATTATAGTTGCACTCGTTCTCGTGATCGTTAATATACTGCACTACAGGGAAATGTTACGTACACCAATGGAATATGTCTAAATGGTTAAGATAATGGGAAACTGATGCTTGCTCGAGTATTTGGTATATTCAAAAGCAATATTCACCTTGTACGGGTAATGGATTTCTGATTCAAATGGTATAATGCCTGCTTTAAATAATCAGGAATTACGGTTGATTCCTCCATTTTTGTAGTTGTCAACGGTTCAATTTTCTTTTTGAAAAGTGGATCCCAGTCTACCACCCATGTACATTTAGATAATAAATGTCATTTAAATTTCTGGCTTAATTGTGGTATTGCAAGTGCTACATGACTTGCATTCCCGGATGATTTCAAAGATGGTCATTCTCTGATATCAGCAGTTCCCTGGAGTTTCCTGTGTGGCTCGTGACACCTGGTTTGGACACTTGGGGATAAGAAATGCTATATTTTTCTGGTAACATGCTTTTTCCAGCATAGAAAGAACTGGGGCAAACTAAGTAAATCTGCAGTTTCCCTGAAAGTTGTGTACATATTCTCACCAAGAAAATATTAGGATACTTGGTGGTGTAGGATGCCAGTAGTGGAAGCAGGTTATTATATCAGCTGTGTCTGAGAAAGATCGTTGAGTACTACTAACCTAGGACATCAGTAGGAAGCAATCAGTTTTGATGCGAATGATATCGAATAACGTGTCGCTTGGTACACCTCTATTTGTCTTTTGCCCCCTCAAAGTCCTATTTAATATTTCGTAAAGATGCTGGCTTGTATATGTTTTTGGTTTGCGACTGAAACTTAAATTCTTTTTCACAGTTAATGGGCCATTTTTGAAGGTGTCTCGGCTCCAAGGATCTGGTTAAACCCAGTTGAAGGATGCTCATTTCAACTGGTTTAGTTTACCGAGTGCAGCATAGACCGAAAGATGCAAGAGTAGGATTTTTATGCTCCAGCAGTCGTACAACACTGATATTTGCAGTAGATTACAAGCTGGATTAGAAATGAGAATTTGTAGAATAGCTCTCTTTTGTGTTATGACTTGTGCTGTACATGGGTGTTAACGATGCTTTGATTACAGATACCTGTTGTGCTGATTGAGGACTGTGGATCTGTAGAGAGCAAAAGAAGTTGAGTTGAAGAGATGAGAGTAAGATAATTAAACACTAAATGCATGTTTCTTGCTCAGTATACTTGAAAGTACTGAGAAAGAAAAAAGAAGCCCAGATCTTGTTTATTATACCGTGCAGAGGGTTCAAATATTGGTCTCAGTGAAGATTTGGTTCTTTCTAAGCTGGACTACTGGAATTGTCGATAAGGTCATGCTATCCCATTGATCTCTGGTTGTCAGGATCAAACGAAGCTTGTTAATGAATGCAACTCTCATTCTTGAAGAGCAGATAGGCACAGAACCACACCCTTGGTTTTACTTTATGGTCGAAGATGCTCTAGCTGAAATTGCAGTGATGTGTCAATGGTTCTTGGCAGCAGGGTTTTTTTGAGAAACATTGAGCTTGAATCGTTTAGTCCAAGCACTAGGTTCTGTTCAACTTTCTCTACAATATTCCACACATCACCTAAAACCCTTCCCCATTTAACTCTGTAAATGTGCTTCAGATTTTAGCAGAATGGAATGTTGAGTTTGAATGGAATTAATTTACTTAAACAGGGAAATTTGACAAGAAATATTGACAGAACTGACATGATGAACTGTGATAGGAGAAGAATCAATATAAATAACAATTTTGCTATGAGTACAAGGGACCTTTTACAGGGTTTTAAAATGTAATGACATAGCACTTCAAGAAAAAGTAGAAAAAGAATGAAATAGATGAAACAATGAAATGAAAGGAAAGTGAGGGGAAACCTAAATTTTCCCACCAGTTATCACGGCCGAGCTCCACAACTGGAGGGAAGCCCAGCATATGTGAAGTCCACGACGTATTTTTTGTTGGTAATCACAATTTTTCCCACCATTCACTTCTATGTTAAGCTTCCCATTTTTCGGACGAAAGTCTGCACCTACGAGCCAGAAATCTGGCGTTTTCTCGAAGGCAGTAACTCAATTAGCCCGGCCATTTCGATGGGATATTCAGGTTAGTTGCTCCAGAAATTTATTCAGTTATGATTTTAGTTTCATTTTTCGTTTTGAAGAGCATGAGTTATTGTTAATAAATTATATTTAAGAAGTGATAGAGAATATATAAATTGGTCTGAAATACTAGAAATGTCAAGAAGATCCTGAACTTTGATAGCTCTATTAACACTAGGAGAGTCGAACAATGGAGATAAGATATATTTTTGGATGCAATGAAAGCGGTGCACAAATGCTGGACAAATTTAGGCTTTGTTTGATACCCTTTTTTTTTTTTTTTTTTAATTTCATTTCACCTTCTTTTCTTTTCAACCACATATTCTTTATTAAAATAAAATTACACGTAAATCAATTTTTTTCGTATTTTTCAACCACACATTTATCATGAATCTACTACTCTAAAATGCTTTTTTTTTTTCCCATAAAAATGGGACTCAAACATCCTCTTATTTTAATTATGTTATCGTCAATTCGCTTGCGCATCTAGCAGACCATATTCGTTTTCTTACAAAAATGTGATATATGCACAATTTTCTGTACTTGCAGCAAAATTATTGTGAAATATGTGAAATAATGTATGGTTCAGAAGCCTCAGTTTCGTAATGCAAAAAAAGAATTCAAAGGTTTTCTATTCAGTAGGATTGGCAAATTCCCTGATGTGAATGTTCAATTATCTATTTCACTGGAATTGGTTTATGTTTTCCTTAGTATTATCGATTCTTTGGTTGTAGCAGTAGAAAAAATGGACGACATGCATGATGAATTTTTTATGGTGTCTGATGAGGAGAACGTTGTGAAAAATGTCAACATTGTTGAAAATGAAATGTTAGGAGGGGATAGTGTTATTGTGCCTAAGATAGGTATGATCTTTAAGGATGAAAAGAAATGTTTGAGACGTGCAAGAGATATGATTATGATGTCATTTTTCCTATTAGGAAAAGAAATTAGAAAAAGGGTAAAGATGGAGTTCTTTGGCACGTGACATTCATGTGTAGCTATGAATGTCAAAGAAGCTATAGCACAAGCAGTTATTTGAAGTCGCAACCAACAAGCCCGATAGCTTGTAAAGCAAAGATATTTGCATCTTCAAATATTCAAGGAAATTGGAGAATAAACATCGCCCACCTCGAGCACAACCATAAAATAAGTTCTTCGAAGTTTAGATTGTATCGATGCAATAGAGAATTGAGAGCAAATGTAAAACGTAAGCTTTTAAGTTGTAAGCAATGTTTTCTTGAGCATTCGAAGTAATGCAGAATGTTTCTACATCTGTGACACACTCCAAAATTCCTTCCTCGCATCTTGAGATTGGACACAATCACATAACTCAATTGTCAATATTTCACCATTAAAATAAGCGCAACAACTCAAACGATATTCATATGAGTGAGCATAAAGTTAATTCTAATACATAAGGCAGTTTGTGGGATTTCAAATGAAATGAAAATTTTTCAATTGATATATGAGCCTATTTGATTTCCATTTTTCTAGGAATAAGAATGAAAAATATAATTGTTACTGGACCCACATAAGAGATAGAAAGTCAAATATAATGGTTTCATGTGATAGATAATGGTCATATTTTTCATTTTTGTGGCCAAATAATGGGAATCTAATGGGCCCATAATATGCATTCTATTTTCTATTTCTAGTCAACCAAAAAAAACAAAAGGAAAATTGGCAAGTATTTGTTGTTAACAAACAATGTGTTTGTAACTTGTATAAGCACTTACCAATTGATTGTGAACTAATTGTTCAAACAAGAGCAAAAACTCCACAACCTCTTTGCTTAATTTAAATTCCATGGAAAATTTCACAGTATATTGAAATATTATAGGCCGCAACAACATAGTTACTTCGCTAACTGAATCTCAAGAATATGATGTTGGGAAATTATCAACATCAGAAAAAATGGAGAAGAACCAAAATATAGATAATATCAAGAAGATGAAGACAAATAAAAAATTATGACAAAAATGAAGGCTCAAACACGACATTATATTGTTATTCTCAAACGATATTTGCCTCCTCTTGGTAACAATTTGGTGCTTAAAGGATCTCAAGACAAACGGTTTGTAGGATTAATCAAGCGTTGTAGAGAATAAAACACTTGAGCACATGTGTGATTCTCCAAAACTTTAAGATCACAAGAAGGAAAAATGAATATGGAAGAAGAAGACTTTGGTTTCTTCTTGTGGAATGAAGAGATAGTTTTTTCATATGTTTGTGATATAATTTCTATCTCTTTGTAAAGACCATCAAACACTTATTTATAGCCATGAAACATTGCCACACGAAATGGTGCCAAAAGGAAGTGAAAAGTCGCCAAAAATCAAAACTTAAAACTGCTCAACGGTCATTTTCTCTTTCCATGCGACCGCATGGTATTACTCCATGTCGCATGGAGTAACTCAAAAAGGCCTTCCAAATTTTGGGTTGTCGCATGGCTAGATTGCTGTGCGGTCTCACGGCATTCATCTTTGTCCTCCAGTCTTAGTTTCATTTCACTTCCGTTCCTTGTTTCACTTTCATTCCACACACATGATTCTTTTGACGTTGAAAAACAATATATCGCATGGCCAGATTGCTATGCTATCGCATGACATTCATCTTTATCCTCCGGTCTTAGTTTCATTTCACTTTCGTTCCTTGTTTCACTTTCATTCCACACACATGATTATTTTAACGTTGAACAACAATATATATCAATCACCTACTTGTTCAACATTCAATAAGATCTCATATTCAAAGTATATGATACTCATGTATAAGGATTAGATTTTTTTGATTTGAATCTAACCATAGTGTAATTTAAACAAAGTAAAGTCGGAATTAAAGGTAGTCGTAGCTTTGAACCAATTATTCCATGTGACAATATCGGTTCGAACACACACACGAGTACCATGTTTCTTAATTTCCTCATAACTCGCTTAGCGCAATTACGGCCTTGGGCTCATCCTACACAAACTTTTATGAGAGAAACTACAACTCTCTATTGAGACAACACCACCTCGAAGTTCGTTTAGATGAAGTTCTTCCAATACCTTTGTTACTTTTAGAGGTACTCGTATTTTAACACTGAACTTCATTAAGAGTTTTAATGCTCAACCCTCACTTCAGTAACAACTAGTATTATTTTATTTAGGAAATGGTTATAGCGGATTTAATACAATGCTGAAATCATCCCATATATCAAATGACTTATTTTTACCCTTTGAACCCGTGGATTACCTTTTGAGTAATGACAGATAGGGTTGTCGTCATTGGTGGACCTTTATAGTTTAAGAGTTTCAGCCACAACCTTGTCGAAGTGGATACCACTAAAACTCTATTTATGGTTTAAAGTATTCGCTCCGTCTTTATGGAAGTTATTCCATCTTTGATAATTTCCTTATTGACTTACGTCTAAGACTTATATATCTAGATTTTCATTATATGTAACTTAGTATATTATCAAATATAACTAGTCAACGATCGATTTATTTGATAGATATAATTTATTACCACTAAGAATTCCTTTTTATGAAGTCAAATGCTTCTTATTAGCTTTATTTAAAGTTTTATAGATTTCAAATATGGTCAAAAAAATTTTATTAAATCATTACACTTAGTCAATTACTTTTGTGGATTTCATTCCTGGGTATTCAATTCTCATCATTGAGTCATTACAATGATTTTCAATAGGATGAATATTTTTTAAATATTCAAATTGTTTTGTAAACGCCATAATTGGCTCTCACCCAATTTATTCACCTTAGACTTAGTGTATCTCATCCTTATAATTATATGTATAAGGGTTTTCTACCTTTTCTCCTTCATAGATATTTTTCTGTGATTAAAAGGTTTAGGGAATTTTAACTTATATATTAAGTTACCTCTACAATTCCTCAATTAGGAATTCTCATGCAATCTTGTAATATTGTATCATGTCAATCCATAAAGTGTATGTTCACCTTATTCACATTTGAACAAAATCACGTTTTGTCATACTAATATGCAAACACAATTTGTGCTCTACAGATAAACTAGAACAAATTACAATTTGTCATACTTTATACAATTATAATTGGCATAAAGTCATCTCATTTAATTTCATAGGATTAAATGAGACTATCAACATTAACCATATGCAAGCACAAATTAGCATAAAATCATCTTACCTAATTGGAACTTTCATTATAGATCTCCACCAAAAAGTCTATCCAAAATCCAAACATTTGTATTGATTCATCAAATGAATACACTAATCCGATTCACATGATTTTAGACTATCAAAGAGACACCAACAACGTGCCTATTTATCGTAAATGAAATTTCCTTGCGGACAATTTCTATCATGGATTAGTGTTTGCCAATTCCTCACATAAGTATATGCAAATTCTGGAAATGACATATAAGAAGCATAATCACACATGCAATCTGGCATTTTTCTTCCGTAAGTGAATAATATGATCCAATTATTCTCCAACCAAAAAAACATAGATTTCCTCAAGCATATCAATTCATCAACTGAGTCAAGTTAAGACCAAGGGAATGGATTCTCATATAATCCATCAATTTTGGAATTTTAAAGAACGCACATGAAACTGCCTAAGGTGTGTAAATTAGTTTCCTAATTTGCAGATGGTGACTGGTGAAAAATTTATCATCAGCCTCCATTGTTGACTATTTCATTATCTACCAATTAGATGAATAATATAAATTCATACAGAACTTATCAGCAATTTCTTCATTAGAGGAATGAGTGGATCAAACAAACATTCAACAAAGATGTAAGCAGCAAACACAACGGTTGTCATATCATACATGTTCATGCGCGTTCACAAGGGAGGACAATTAACCGCAAACCATTTCATGCATCAAGACAAATGAAATCATGCTACTCAATTCCAGATGGATCGTACCATTTCAGAAATGAATATTCTAGTCTTTTTTAAAGCAAGAATACACATCTTTCCACAACAAATTACCGTTTGAGATTGTTGGGAAATTATCAACATCGGGAAAAATGGAGAAGAACCAAGATATAGATAATATCAAGAAGATGAAGGCAAATAAAAAATTATGACGAAAATGAAGGCTCAAACACGACATTATATTGTTATCCTCAAACGATATTTGCCCCCCTCTCAATAACAATTTCGGTGCTTAAAAGGTCTCGCGACAGATTAATCAAGCGTTGTAGAGAATAAAACACTTGAGCACATATGTGATTCTTCAAAACTTCAAGAACACAAGGTGGAAAAATGAATATGGAAGAAGAAGACTTTGGTTTCTTCTTGTGGAATGAAGAGATAGTTTTTTCATATGTTTGTGATATAATTTCTATCTCTTTGTAAAGACCTTCAAACACGTATTTATTATAGCCATGAGACACTGCCACACAAAATGGTGCCAAAAGAAAGTGAAAAGTCGCCAAAAATCAAAATTTAAAACTGCCCAACGATCATATTCTCCTTCCATGCGACCGCATGGTATTACTCCACGCGGTCACATGGAGTAATTCAAAAAGGCCTTTCAAGTTTTCGGCAGTGGCCATGCGACCACATGGCCAGATTACTATGCGGTCGCATGGCATTCATCTTTGTCCTCTGGTCTTAGTTTCATTTCACTTCCATTCCTTGTTTCACTTTCATTCCACACACGATTCTTTTGACGTTGAACAACAATATATATATCATATGAAAGCAAGAATTGGTGTTTTTTGATTACTTTATGTGTAATGGGGTTCAAAGATATAAAAAATTCATTGTTGAGCAGCTTTAGCATTTTCCTTCTTCTTGACATTTCTAGTATTTTAAAAATGAAAAATGAAACTACAATCAAAACTGAACAGATTTTTGGAGCAACTAACCTTCATGCTAGAATAACCCATCGAAATGGTTGGGCTAATTGAGTTACTGCCTTCAAGAGGACGCCAAATTTTCTGGTTCGCAGGTGTGGGCTTCTGTCCAAAAATGGGAAGCTCGACGAAGACAGGAGTGAATGGTGGCAAAAATTGTGTTTACCAGTCGAAAATACTTGGGATATGGACTTCGCATATGCCGAGCTTCTCTCTAGTTGTGGAGCTCGACCAAATACGTGGTGATAAAATTTGGATTTTTCCTCACTTTCCTTTCATTTCATTGTCTCATTGTTTCTTTCTTTTTTTTTTTTTTTTTTTTTTTTTTGCCACGTCATTACATTTTATAAAGCCTATAAAAAACCTATGAAAGGGGTGCATACTCATAGCAAAATTATAATCAATCAACCTATTTGACTTTGGTTGCATCCATGGGGGTAGCCCCCCCATCTCCAGGCGCAATTAAATTTTTTTAAGGGTAATTTTCCTTCTCTCTCTTTTTTTTTTTTTTTTTTTTTTTTTTTTTTTTTTTTTTTTGTAAAAACAGATTTTTAATGTGTAATTATTAATTTTTTCAAATATTAGACCGACTTGAAATTTTTTAGCACGATCTTAAATTCAATCCTGAATCCACCTTTGGTTGACTCGTTGCATCTTGATTCTATTTCTTTTGGTATGTCTGGGGTGTGGGTGAATATTATAGAACTGCCCTATTTATGCAAAATGTAAAATTAAAAGGATTATGCTATTTGTCAAGAAAATGACATTCAAAAAGTGTGCCAAAAAATGATGTGTGGTGAAAAGATAAGATGAAAAAGTTAATCGTTTTTTACACTGTCCAATGATAAAATGTTATATGACATTATATAATTCATTATATAAGATTTGATGTATATGTAGTAAGGTCCAAATCAGAAAATCATGTTATTAACGTGACAAAGTTTTACTTTGATCCATCATATAAAGACCATCATATATTCTTTATATTGGATTTACATAAATGTTATTTTTAAATGATGGTTTTTTCTGTGAAATTTATAAAATTCAATATCTACTTTTGTTAATTCTAACATCAAAACAATGAAAAAAATGTGTTTGAACTATATTATTTTGAAAGAATGTATTTTGAAATAGTAGATTGATGAGAATGTGTGGTTAAAAAATAAGAAAAGGTTTTGAATTTGTTTATAATATTATTTTATTAAAGAATGTGTGGTTGAAATGATATCAAATCACTGTTCAAGAATGTATTTTAAAAAAAAAATGCGGCTTAAACATAGCCTTGGTAACTAATAAAATAAAAGAAAAATCTTTCTTCTAATTAATAAATTTTATGCAATGAATAAACATTAAAAATAATCAATAAAATAACTTTTGATATTAGTCATTAGTTTGCAGTTAAAATTTATTTTCTTGTTCATTTTATGTTTAATCTTGCAAATTAAAAAAATTGTTAAGAATGCATATTTGTTATTTTTCTTAGCCAATGCTTGTTATCTATTTATCATGGTGTAAAGTTAGGTAGTATATTCAATTGAGATTTTTAATAACTTTTTGGAATTAAAAAAAAAAAAAGTTTAGTGACATTCAATGTAGATTTTTTGTAACTCTAAAAAGTATTAATATATTCAATTGAGAGTTGTATAAACTTTTAAAAGGTTTCTAAAAGTCACAATGTATTTAATTAAAACTTTTTAAAAGTCTCTATAAATTTTGGGGAATTCAAATTTTAATGTCTTTTAGAAACTTTTATAATAGTCTCTAAGATGTTAATTTTTAAGCAGAAAGTACTCAAATAAAATCTCAAAATTTGTCTATTATTAATCATAAGATTTTGGGAGACTTCATGAAAATAATAAAAAAATATATTATTATTTTTTCAATATTTCTCTTTCCATTTTCCTTCTACGAATATTAGAGTTATGATTAAAATTTACTTTTTTTATTGATTGGATTTGTTTTCATATTGTTTATCTCTATTTTCTTTGAAAAAATTAAATTAAATTCTTATATTTTTTTTCTTTTTCCATTCATTTTTGTTGTGTGAAAAATATCTATTTTTATTAAATTATAAATTTGTATACTGCAAATTTTTAATTAAATTCTATATATTTATTTTTAAAAATATATTATATTAATAATATTGAATATTACTTTTTTTTTATCATATGTATATGTATAATTTTGATTATTATTTATTTAATTAAGGTCTTAAATTTTTATTCTTTTTAAAATAACTTTTTATTGTATGGAGAGGGCGTAGGGGAATTGTAGGAACCGAACCGCCACTTCATATATAAGAGTTTTCACATTATTGCACTAGATTCACAGGAATTCTACTTTAAATGAAATTCTTTTAAAAATTTTGAATTCTACAAAAGTCTATAAAAATTTTAAAATGAAAAATTATGAAATACTTTCACTAATTCCCTACAAATTTACAAAAATTTCAAGAAATCCCATCATTTTAAAAAAATCTATCAAAATTTTCAAAAATTTCAATTGAATACACCCTCTTAGTATGTTTAGTATTAATTTAAAAAGTACGGTATACAAAATATAAATATCCACATTACAAATGATGTATTTTGTAGACTCTTAACTAATAGGTCTTTCGGTAATTTTGCATATATTATAAACAACGACAATAAAGAATATGTTTTAAATAAATTTAAAATCGTTTCCCAAACTATTTAAAATCGTGAATTATATAATAATTATATAAAATAACAATAATAATTACATCACATTTTTTTTTTTTTTAAATTCCAATAAATATACACGTCTGAGGTCACCTTCTCCCATCCTCTCTCTCTAAAAGGCATAACCTGAAATCTGAAACGGTAGCATCCAGCAGGGAGACTTCTCTGTATTATATGGATGAAAACGAAGAAAAAATCCATATATAGATAGAAACAATCTCTAGAGAGAGTGAGGAAATGGGGAGGCGGATGGGCCAATTGACGTTCCGGCGGAAGAAGAAGCCCGTGTCTTCACCGCCGCCGACAATCGAGGTTGTTAACAATTCCACGGTGACGGCGAGCAAGGCGGCGGTGGGGAAGAAGAAAGCTGGAGGGGCGAGGCTTTGGATGAGGCTAGATCGCTGGGGACACTCCGAACTGATCGAATGCGATAAAAGTGTTATTCTGAAGCGCGTGTCAATTCCTTCTCGGGACTTGAGGATACTCGGACCGATCTTCTCTCACTCTTCCAGAATCCTTGGTACCTCTAGTTTCACTTTTTGGAGATCAGTATGTGTGCTGTTTTTTCTTTTTTACTTCGCGATTTTTGTTTTTAATTTTGATGATTTGATAACGTAAATAATATGATTTTGTTAACATTTATCTGCTTACTAAATATAAAATCCATTTGAAAGAATTTTTTCCATTAATAGTAATTTTGAAGCAATTATCGATTGCTTTATATTCTGGTCATGTTGCAAAAATCAGTCAGGGACTTGTTTCCTGCACTGGGTGATTGAGTGATGGGAGAACAGTATTTATTTCTTTTGTACAATAAAGAAGGAATAAATTCAGTGCTTATTAGTTCTGGTTACGAGGTTAGCAAACTGCGAATTTGTGGACCTTTGACCCATTTTTATTGTATGTATTCAATTCTTGTACCCATCCACATTTGCCGCTTTGAACTAGAAATAAATACTGTCCATTAACAGTACAAGTAATATTTACTGTACACTAAAGAAGAAGCTATATTTTGTAGTGCTATATATTATGAATAATGCTCCTTGTATATAAGCAGCTACGTAATGGTGACAAAAAGAGAGTGGGGAAGATTTTTATTTTTTTCTCCTTTTTTTTTATTTATTTTTTTTTGGTTGAAGAAATTCTAATGCAATCACATCTCACCACATGTGTATGTGAACCTGAGTACGTGTAGCACTATCGATACATTATTAGTTGTGTTAATCACAGTTCTAGGTGGAAGTAGTCCCCCTGATTCATTGCCCGATGATCACAACTAATAATGAATAGCATTATTCATTTTGCAATCACACAAGATAGACTCTTTTAATGTCTATATCAACATAAAACAGAAGTGCTCTTTTAGTGATGCTTCATCATGCATGATCATGAATCTATGGAGTGTCTTTTGATTGCCAACTAATAAATTGAGTTTACATATGTTTTGAGAGTTGTATATACTTTTATGGATCACTTATGATCGGCTAAATCCATATGCTGATGTAGCTCTTTTATGGATCACCTATGATATGCTAAATCCATTCGTTGAGTCTCATTTTGTCCATCCATGCAAAGTCTCATTTGTGATTATACATTGAAGGCTCTTGGAAGAATATGCACGAGTTGCCCATATTTAGCTTCTAATATGAATAAGTATACATTATGTATGTGTGTGGACTCACACTCACACTCACTGACTTGTATATATACACCAGTAACAAGAAGAGAGGAGATAAACGAGGAATTAATTTCTTCTCATTCTGTTTGCAGCAAGGGAAAAGGCCATGGTTGTTAATTTGGAATTTATAAGAGCTATAATTACGGCTGAAGAAGTATTATTACTTGATCCTCTGCGCCAAGAGGTGCTTCCTTTTGTGGAACAGCTGAGGCAACTTCTATTGCATAAAAGCTCTTCTAATCATGGGTCAAATCAGTTGATTGCTCAAGACCACGGAATGCAATCCCCTACTGCTGGAAAATGGTTACCTGTTCCAGACGCTGCTGACGGTTTGCAAGCTGAGCTTCCTTTTGAGTTCCAGGTTTTGGAAATCGCATTAGAGGTGGTCTGTACATATTTGGATTCTAGTGTTGCCGAACTTGAGAGAGATGCTTACCCGGTTTTAGATGAACTGGCCAGAAATGTTAGCACGAAGAATCTTGAGCGCGTGAGGAGTTTGAAAAGCAACCTCACTCGATTGCTTGCACAGGTGCAAAGGGTAAAGATTTTGTCTCTATTCTTTTATTATTTGATCATGATAGTCTTCTAATTTCTTGGAATGACACTTTTGTGGAATTTTAGCCCTTCCCTACTTTTGCTTCTCAAATCTTGATAGAAGGTAGACCGTCTGAAAGAGCTGGAGTGCTTATTATATTTTGGACTCCATACCTGCCGATTGTCAATATTTTCATTTTTCATTTTACCCCTATGGAATTTTCATTTTTCTGGTCGAGGAAACTTTTTCATGGCTATAGCTTCATGGAAGTTGTTTTTAGTTTTGCAGGGTTTATTTTGACTTAAATAATTTGTGGGTCATCAGCATCGAACTATCCAGTGAATCCTCTAGGACAACTGTCTATCTTCCGTGTTTATGGACTAACAAGAAATGAATACATCATGTCTTACACCAATTTCTCGGATTTTAGACTCTTATCAAAAATGGATTAGTATTGTTTTCTGAGAATAGTGGTAGATGGTTTGTCTATTTAATAGTAATTTTATTTGAGATGAATGATCTAACTTTGTTAGAGCTAAGCTTCAAGAGCTGTTGGATATGTTTCGTTTCATAAATTATTCATGTTTGTACTTCAATTGTTTGTGCCATTGCTGCCCTTTTATAAGTTCATGCCATAGTTGCAGCTTATTCTTGGTTGTGCATGATAGCACCCTGTTTAGTTCACCCCTTCATTTGAGGTTGCACATGCTGAGGGAAGTTAGAGCTTATCCAACATCACCTCAAAGGCTAGAATATGAAATTAAGGGGGTTATCCAATTGACGCCACTTACTTTTGAGATCAGTTTTTGACAAGGTAGTTAAGGCTCTAGTTGTTGCTTGTATTGGCAGTCACTCCACATTGACCAATCATCTCAAAAGCAATAAGAGCTGCTGAAATAGTCCAAGGTTTCAAGTGCCTTGTCCTTGTCTTGTTTAAGTTTTTAGTCTTTAGAGTTTATGCATGCAACTTGGAGAATAAAAGCATCAAATGTTGCCATTTTTTTATTTTTATTTTTATTTTTTTGATCGGTACAAATATTGCCGATTTATTGTGACTAACAATGCGATTAGACTAACTATGGCTGGCCCTGCATTCTCAAACCACTTCCAGCTTTATATCTCTTCCTTGGATGGACATCTGATAGAAAAGATCTATTTTGCATCGATTATCATGCATAAGGAGTGTCAAAATTCATGAGCCAGATTACTTTCTTCCTATATACTGACGAAGGGGCAAACATGTGTCTGGTGGTAGGTGAGAGATGAGATTGAACATCTTTTAGATGATGATGAAGATATGGCGCAATTATATTTAACAAGGAAGTGGATACAGAATCAGCAGTCTGAGGCTTTGATGGGAGCAATGGCATCAAATGGCATTGTTCCCCCTGCTCCTCATCTCCGACGACTTAGCTCTGCAAGAAGTGGGAGTTTGGTAAGCAACTATTTGAATGACAATGACGTGGAGGACCTAGAAATGTTACTTGAAGCTTACTTCATGCAACTGGATGGCACTCGTAACAAGATACTATCTGTAAGTATATCCTCGACCATGACATGGCATCCCCCCCCCCCCCCCCCCCCCCCCCCTTTTGTTTTTTTTTTTTTTTTTTTTTTTTTTTTTTTTTTTTTTTATTTTAATTGCCGAAAGAGAGAATTTTGCTTTCGTGTGAAGGAATAAAAGAGGCAAAATGTATATTAAACCTCTAATTATTGTAATATAATTCTGCTGGTTAACATTTTCACAATCTTGAAAGAAATAAAAATAAAATAAAATTGGTTGAAATATAAACCAAAGAATATTCCGAGCTAGATAGAAGATAGAAAAATGTGAATGAAGTAGGCGTAAAATAGTTCACTGTTCAAGTAAGTAGTAACGTACGAGAAATAGAGATATTATCGTCTAATAAAAAATATAGTCGCGACATAGCTCAACATTTAATAAAATTTTGGAAGATAAAATTAAATTTTGAAAAGAGCCATTACCCAGTGAAGATGGATAGAATATGTCAATAGCTTAGCAAATAAACTTATATTCATAAAATCAATTGTCATGTTAATTGCAATACATGCAAAGATTTATATTTAGTATTTATACTAGTAAAGGGGCATGACACTTAGTCATTGTTTGAAAAAAAATATTAAGGAGAAAAATATTTTTTTCCATTTTTTTTTTCTAGTAAAATGGACACTTGATTAAGGAGAAAAATATTGATAGCTTCATGTAGTATGATCCGTTAATTTTGTTGGAATTGTAATCAAATAAATTTTTCAATTGCATACTATTTGTCTCCCCTCCTCCCTATCTTTGGATTGTTTTTTGCTTGTAGGAAAGTATGTTGAACAGTTAAAGGTATTTTCCAAGACAATGGCAGTCCTTTAAATTTTATATTATCTTTAATAGAACCTCATTTTATTTTGATTTGAAGGTCTTCAACCATTTTTTGGTACTCACCTGTTTTCTGCTACTTAACCATCTGACTTCTGTCCTGTATCTCCTCCAAGACAATCACTGTCCTATGATTTTCAATTTTTTATAATATTATTAATAGAACTTGGTAAGTATTTTGTTTCGGAGGTCTTCTGCCACTTTTTTGGGTTCTCTCACCTCTTTTCAGCTGCTTAACTATTTAACTTCTGTATCCAACATAGCTCAACGAGATTGTGGTGGATAATAATTTAGTGAATTGTGGGCTTTTCTGATGTTTATTTGGCCATACATCCCGCAGAATTAACCTGCAAAGCTGACTGAAATCTCTGGCTGTTCTAAATTCATAATCTGAAATTGGGTGGCAAAAAAGAAATTCAAAAGCTTAGGCCCATTTGATTTGTGTTTCGGTTTTCAATTTTGAGTTTTGAATTCATTTTCAGTTTTTTGGGTTTAAATGTTTATTTTAAAATTTCTAAAAACGCGTTTGGTTAGTCATTTTAAAAAATAATTTCTCAAAATAGAAAACTAGAAAACATGTTTGGTTTGAAATTTTGAAAAATTATTTTATGACATTTTATTCTATTAAGCCATGTTTGAGCCACATTCTAGGAAAGAATGCATTATTCATGTCAAATCAATGGAAAATATATGGTTAAAAAATAGGAAAAGTTTTAGATTTGTGTGTAATATTATTCCATTGAAAAATGTGTTGTTGAAATAATGTCAAATCACTGTTGAAAAATATATATTTTTTTAAAATAATGTGGCTCAAACAAGCCCTAAATTTCATTATTCAATAAAAATAGAATAATTTTATATTCATATATTATCAAGTAATATATACATTTTAAAGTTGCACAATATTTTTTCTTGTTAAAAGACTAAAAATAATAATAAATCGAGTTTTCAAAATATAGGAAATAAAACTGAAAATTAATAATGCGGACTGAAAATATTTTTGTTTGTGTTTGTTTACATATTGTTTTAAAAAAAAAAATTATGTAAATAATTATTAAGAGCTTGAAATAATTTTTTATTTTTTTTTTATTTTTAGGAATTTTTATAATTTTGCCATTGAGCCCCATTTTTAGCAAAAGAATGCATTTTGAATAGTAAATTGATGGAGAATGTGTGTTAAAAATATGGAAAAGTTTTAAATTTGCGTGTAATATTATTTTATTGAAGAATATGTAGTTGAAAATGAGTTTTGAAAAAAATGAATTTTTATAATAATGGGGCTCAAACATGGTGTTTATCTTTTCAGAATTTTAGTTTTAATTTTTCAAATTTTTTTTAAGAGATTGCTATTTTTTAAATTTTTTGTGTAAATAATCATTAAGAGCTTAAACTATTATTATTTTTTAGAATTTTTATTTATCTAGTAATTTTTATAATTTTATTTTTTCAGAATTTTAATTTTAATTTTTTAGAATTTATCATTTTTATTTTCTGATTTTTTTTAAATTTAAAATTTTATTTGTTAGATTTCATTATTGTTATTCTTTAAAATTTTCGATTTTCAAAATTTTATTTGAACTCTTGTTTTCTATGTTTTGAGTGTTTTCAAAATTTTCATTGAAAACGCTCAAAACGTCAAAAAAAATTTCCTTGTTTTTGAAAATACATTTTCAAAAAATAACAGATCAAATACATTTTCAATGTTTTTGCACAACTGGAAATTGAAAATGATCTGAGAACGGCAAACCAAATGCACCCTTACTATTTTCTTGCTTGTCTTTTGTTTTTCTCAGGAGAAATATTCAATGTCAGCATAATTTTCGAGTACTTTGTTTTGTTAAGAGAAAAGTTCAGTCCGGTGGCATGAATAACTGTACTTTTTCTGTTCTCTTGCATCCTTTTTAAAATTGCGTATTAGAGGGAACTTATTTTTGAGGCACGATTATTGTCCTTTATGATTTTAAACATTTTAAAGTTCATCGATTTCCTTCTCTTTTCACTTGTGAAATCTCCAGGTACGAGAATACATCGATGACACAGAAGATTATGTTAACATCCAACTTGACAATCAGCGAAATGAACTTATTCAACTGCAATTAACATTGACAATTGCATCATTTGCCATAGCTGTAGAGACTATGATGGCTGGGTGGTTTGGTATGAACATCCCTTGCTCATTGTACAATATTCATGGGATATTCGAGCTCACTGTTGGAATTATGACAGCCGTTTGTGTATCACTATTTGTTCTGGTCCTAGGATACGCCAGATGGAAGAAGCTTCTTGGGTCGTGAAGTCCCCGAAATATGTTTGAGAAAACGATATTATACTCTTGTTTTTCTCCTAACTGGAAGTTTTAAATTGTAATATAGTCATCACTCGATAACTCCAGTCGAGTTCTTTAAGGATATGAAAGAAGTTTACATTGTAATTTGACTTTGAAATTTGATGGTACATGTTTCTAGATGGACGTGCTTTGTTTGATTCTCTCTTCATCAACACATTTGGTAGTTGTGTTAGAAGTTAGAAACTTGTTTTGAAATGTCATTGTTGAAACACATGCTCGTTTTTCTTGGCTATTCAGTCATTTTTATGTTCAGTAATGTCATTCTTAAAGTAATAATGGGTTGATCGGTCCATTATGACGAACTGGTCGTATCTGACGACCAATAAGGATCCGTTTAGTTGGCTCGATTTTTTATTTTTTATTTTTAATTGGAAGTTAAAAGTGAAATTAAAATAACTGTATGCTCTCTTTCAATTCGAAACAGAAATGGTAAAAAAAGAAGTTACTTCCAATAATAAACCCAGTATAGAGCTACTTGTGTCAATGTTTCCAATAAAATGGGCTGGACTTGGGCTGTTACATCAGTTGGAATATGAGCTGGGTTGGGCCGTTTGAGGGGCAAAATTCCTAAAAATGCTCGAGGATATTTTGGTAAATTCATTATAATCTGCCTTAGGTTACTTAGGGTTTAACATTTAAACTATCCACCTCGGAAAAAGCCTCAAGTCAAGGAAATTTCTCATCGAATTCAAACAGATGCTAACATGGGGAACCTGATTCACCATTTTTTTTTCTCGTCTTCTAATGATTCCACGTCATGTGTTGTTTGTCAAAATTATCTATTAAATGCGATTCGCCCCGAAGCAGCAGTCTTCTTCACCACCGGCTGTACTGTTGTATTTGTTCAAAATCAACTGGGAAGTATGTATGAAAATATGGATGAATTGATGGAATTTAAAGAAGGAAAAATTTTGGGGACACGCATGACCATTGTTTACAAGTATTGGGCCTCAGGCCATGCATGGTCATGGAGCAAAAATATAGCCATTGGTTGATTTTTTTCTGATTTGATTCTAGGCAACTATTCAAGGAAAAAAAAAAACTACTTTTCATGAAAGATTGGCACTACTTCGTGGATGGTGAATTGAAATCTATAAATGACTGATACATTGTAATTATAAATATAACAAATCAACAATCAAACCCATATTAGTACCTTTAAATCCAATTCATTTAAATATTCAAACATTCAAGAGTGTTCTTCAAGTTTTGGAAGATAATTACAAGTGCTACCAAATACCGTTTGAGGACAAGAATATCATGTTTGAATCTTTTCTACTATATTTTGGCGTTCTTGATTCTTTCTTTTGTTCTTTTCTCGATTCCCCTTGGAGGATAATATTCCAACATGTACTCCAAGGTATCCTCCACTCTTACACCCACATTTATAGACATATGCATGAATATCTACACACATGCATATATTGATAGTTGAACAATTGTTGATTTGGAAGCATTATGTGAACATTTGTTAAATCTTAGTGGTCTTCTTTTTGCTGAAGAAAAAGTTAATTTGGTTTGGTTTCTGTATTATATTTTTAGTTTTAAAATTTAATTCGTCAGAAACTGCTAAATTTTCTAGTGTTCTCTTATCTTCAGTATTTTGTTGTTGAACATTTTCAAATAAATTAAGTTTTTCAGTCTCTTATTCTTATAGATCCAATAGCTAATTGCATTGCTTGTTGATTAATGATGACAGTTTAGAAGCTTCTAAGTTAATTGCTAGCAGGGAAATGTCAGTTCATCGACACTATTAACTATTCTACCTATTTTTAAAGGATCTTACTGTCTATTGGCTTAAAATTTGAGCTTTTATTGAATTTACTATTTTGAAAACTAGAGCTTCAGAATGAGAATTTTACTTGTGCAACCCACAATCTGGTATCATTTATTGCGAGGCGTAGTGGCTTCAGGTGCTTCGGTATTTTTCCTTTTATTCATCTTTGTCCATACAAAAAGTTGGACTATGATTTTGGGTTCTCTCCTAAAAACTTAAATCTATTGATTTCTGTTGTCCTCCAGTTTTCATTATGAATTGATGACTAGAAAGAGCTGAATCTTGAGCTGTAACTTTATAACTGATGCATGTTTTCTCTTCTCTTTATAATTGATCCAAGAATGTAGGAAGGCATGCTGCTGAGCTTTGTGTGCTAGCAGAAGATTGTGATCGGTCGGATTGTGCTAAATTGGTGAAAGCATTATGTGTCGATCATAATGTCAGTTTGATAATGGTTCCGAGTGCTAAAATCATTGGTGAATCGGCCAGCGTAAGTACCCTATTACTATTAGCAATGATTCTAGTTCTCTGTGTTGACATGGGAAATTTTGCATTTCTAGAATGAAACACCTTCCCTGATCATGCACTTAGCTGTGAGTTTGTAGTTGAGATTGAACATATCTATTGGTTTTGGACTTGTGAAGCTGGAGTTGTCTCTAAGGTCTTAGGTTTTATTCAGAGGGTGTTTGGGAGACATTTTTATGTAAAAATATATTTTTGAATAGTAAATTGATGTGAAATGTGTGGTTAAAAAATAAGAAAATATTTTGATTTACGTGTAATATTATTTTAATAAAGAATGTGTAGTTGAAAAGAGGAGAGAAAAAATGTATTTTGAAAAAAATAGGTACCAAACTGGTGGTTTCTTATACTTCATTATTGGTTAAGAATGATCTTTTTTGATAAGGAATTTTCTCTTCTACATAATTGTGCAAGATTGATTCTGTAGGAAAAGCAAGGACAATGGGGACGCATATATTTTGAGTTAGTGAGGGCACAATCAAACTTATAAAAAAAGTTACTAAAAATTTAATATATTTGATATCTTATTAGAAATATTCTCTACGCGTTCTAACATTCCATAATTATATCATTTTCAATATTTTAAACGCAGACTTGTGTTTAAAATACTTTTCTATATTTGATACAAACAATAAATTCAGGTGAAAAAAATAATCCGTTTATCAATAATCATAGATTTACCAATGAAAACGATCAATTCAATTGCTGTTTGGTAATGGAATGATTCTCTTCTTTCTTCGATATTTTGGAGTCAATTAAAAAAAAAAAAAAAAAATTCTGCAGTTGGTGGGTCGTTTGACCCACTAGGGCCCAATGTGGGTCCTCCAATGGCAAGGGAGGTGGTTGGTTGCTCCAGCGTAGTTGTTAAGGTACAACTCAAGAATTCTTAAAAAAAAAAAGGTTAAACCCTAACCTTAAGGGTCCCCCACCATCCTTACCTTAGAGTATCGTGAGGGAGGTAAATCGCAGGTTATGCCTCCAAGGGTACAGGGTGGAAGGCTGCTTGTACACTTGCACTTACCCAAGAGCTAAATCCATATTTCAGGATTCGAACCCTTGACGCAGCAGCCTCAAGCAAAGCTAGATTTCTCCACCCTCCCCTTTTACCACTTGGAGATGTGCCTTGGGGGCACAACTCAAGAATTCTTCTTACTAACTTAATTTGCTTACTGTAAAACTTTAAAATTCTTGTTCTAATTATATTGCAGGATTATGGGGAAGAGAGTGAGGGTCTTCATGTCGGTAAAGTCCCATTAGATGATGGATGGAATTGGATGATGAAAATCTTCTATTATGCTAGAATATTTCCTTGCTTTCAATTTTAACAATGTTGTGGCTCATTTTTCTTTGGTCGATGTTTAGTTTTAACACTTTGGGCTTACACTTTGGCATTGCTTTATATGGCGTGCGACCGCATGTCGTAAAGATGTTTTTAGCCATAAAAAGTCCTTTTTGTTGTAGTGAACATTAAATTGTAACCACAATGTAAAAAATAATTCAAGTCCAACCACACATTTGACGAGTCATAAGTATGATAGAGACAATTCTATCCATTTTAGTATTATGGTAGCCTTAATTCCACTTTATCAAACACAAGACAAGTGTTAAGCCTTGCCATTTTCTTGTCAAACAGAAAAGTGCAGCAATGTCGAATCAAGGGCTACCCCAAACCCAGACCCGACATGCTTCACACCTTCGAACTTTATATACCCTTCTTTGAACCATTTAATAACAGGGTTTTTGGACTTGATTATGGTGTGCCTATCAAATATGTAACTGATGTGAGTCTCCATTGCTCGCTTCAACGAGCCACAATTTTCTGTGAAGTAATAACAATTACATCGACATGTCAATTTTTGCTTATTAGATTTTTTTATTTACAGGGAAAAAAAATAATGAGTGTGTTAATCTGCCATTGTACCTTCTCCCAGATATGTTGAGGACAAAGAAAGAATTGGCCAATTTTAGATACATATAGACAAACTATTCTCTTCTACATTTTAGATCGGTTCATTTTATTATTATTATTATTATTATTATATCAAGGTTCACTTTCACTTTTATTTCGTGTATTGAGATATTTTTCAAAAAATGAAATTTTATATATTTTAATGGTAAATTTCATTGTCAGTCTCTAACCTTTTAGCAAATAAACAGACTTAACCAAAGAAAAACTTTCCGGTCATTTATTCAAAAGTCTTGGGGGGTTTCTCCTTGATTTCGCCATTGTTGTTGGTAGTAAAATCAAGGAAAAATCTTCTCGGTTGTGACCAAAAAATTGAAGAAATCGTGACATTTTTATTGGTAGGGAAATAAGTGCGGAGATATTTGGTATTGGTGGAGGGAGGTCGGTGATGGAGGATTGGTGGATGGAGTGGGAACTTTTTTATTAGGGGAATTTAATTCAATTGAAACTTGTAAAGACTTTTATAAACTATTTTTAAGTAATGAATTTTTAGAATTTCGTGAACTTTTATAGATTTGTATGAAAATGAAAATCTTTCAAGACTTCTATACAAATCTATAGACTTTCATTTTAAAACTTTTATAGACTTTTATAGAATTCAAATTTAAAAAAAAAAAAAATCATTTAAAATAGAATTCATGTGTATCTAGTGTAATAGTGTGAAGTTCTCACATATAGGGTGATGGTTCCCACACTTCCATTTCCTATTCTCACATAATAAAAAATATTTTTAAAGAATAAAAATCAAAATATTAACTTTTTTTTAATAAATTAGTCTTTTTTATATAAATTCTTATAGTTTAATTACAAATAAATCTTTTTCACAAAATAATGGATGAAAAATAAAATAAAATTATAAGAATCTTTGATTATAATTCGATTTTTTCAATAGAAAATGAAGATAAGCCCTAAAGAGAGAGAGAGAAGAAAAATAGAAACAAATATA